CCCAATCATGTCGGTTTTTCTTCGGTATCGGTACGATTCGGTTAATTTTCGATATTTTTTTAAATGTCAGGTAAAAGTAACTAGTAGAAGTAGAATATAATAACATACATACTTTTATAGGACTTCGCAAAACTCTCTAGACATTTTAACTTTTTAAAGAGTGATGAATTAAGAAACATGACAAATGGCCAGAGTACTAGATCCATCAACTATTCTACATCAATATAAAAGAAACTAAGCAAAGACAAAGAAAATATAAATCACACGAATGAAAAGATATTAACCAAGCTGGGATTCAAAAATAAAGTAATATGGAAGATTAAGTATCCAAGAAGATAAATTTAAATCATACAAAAGGACACATACTCAATACATTGCAGTTTGCTACTCATGATCGCTAGAATACTTTGTATCTTGCTAGTGAATAGGCTGAAAATAATTTAGTTTCAATAAGAGCAACATAATAGTTTTGGGAATTAGAATTTTGAGTTTAATTACTCGTTGGCTTTTAACCATTTTTATAATTACAATGCCCAAAAAGAATTTAATGTTTTATTATTTTTAAACTTAATCTATAAATATATTTTCTACATGTAAATTCATTCGATATGGTTCGGTATTTTTTCGATTTATTTTCACAAAATAAAAAATCTAATCTAATTATCGGCACGGTTATAGATTTATACAAAAAATCTACAGTTTTATTAAAAGAAATCTAAAAATCGGTACGATATGGTTCAATCAATTTAGTAGGTTTTTAAATATCCATTGACACCCCTACTTTTCAGGCATCATTTTAAACCTAATTAATAGGCGTTTGGACAAAACAATTATAATTTTTGATGAAAAAAGTAGTATTTGAAGATAAGTTGAAAATTAGTATTTGAAATTTAAATTATATTTGAATATGCATTTCACTTGAAAAAATGTTGCGATTTTATGAGTGGGACAACAAGAATTTCTGATTTTTTTAATTATGAAAAACTCATTTTCAAAAAAAATTTAAAAACTTGTAAATTTCATGAACAAACATGTTTTTGACAAAAAAATCGAAAAACAGAAAAAAAATATTATGGACAAACGTTTCCTTAGTATTACAAGATAAATTCTACTCATTTTTTGGCCTAATGATAATATTAGGGGTGTTCACGGTTCGGTTTGATCGGTTTTTGATTAAAAACAAAATCAAATCAATTTAATCGATTTTTAAAATTTTAAAATCAAAATCAAACCAAATTAAATACAAACCATCGGTTTGGTTGTCATTGGTTTGGTTCGGTTTTTCGGTTCTTAGTAAGCTAATAATAAGTCGATAATAGTGAAACAACACTAGACAATAATCTGAAAATTTATACTTTTTATATATTTCGTTCGGAACTGAAAGTTTATTTACCTCTTTATATGAAAAGAATGAACAAAAAAACAACTAAAAGTTTGCTTTCTCAAGTTTTAGCCACTGTAGTCCTGCAATTTGAGTTTGCTTTCTTTACTTTTATGGTAGGATTTTTTTTAACTCTTCTGTTAGGCAAAAGTATGTGCGGAGGGTTAGAGAATTAAAGTCTCTTAAGGGAAAGAAAATTGGCTGATTCCTATTGTTTTGGGCTTAGACAATCTTTTAAGATATAAGTAGGATAAACCAAAATTCAAAATAACAATTAAATTGCATAAAATATTTAAAAATATTTAGAAAAAGATATTATATTGTATAAAATAATTATTAAATTTTGTATATAATTAATCGGTTTGGTTCAGTTTAATTTTTGATTTTTATAATAGAACCAAAATCAAACCAAATTTTATCGGTTTTTAAAATTTAAAATCAAAATCAATCCAAATAAAAAAAATCGATTTACTTAGTCGGTTTGATTTGGTTTTCAATTTGAACCGATTTTCGTCAAACCGCGAAGAACCCTAGATAATATGCTCATTCACCAATTGCAGGCTACTTTCTCTTTCCATCTTTTAAATTTATACATACTACCACGTCAACATCCTCTATAGTGCCAATATAAAAAGGATTTTGATACCTGTGTCCACCCATCACTCACCAAGTGTCAAATAGTACAGTGAGAATATTTGGTCAATTTAATGCGAATGTTCCCCTAGTTGGGTAGATGTCACGATTATTTGGCAGTCCAATCCTTACTTTTTTAAAAAAACTTATACTTTTATTTTCAAAACTTACAAATTACAAATTATAGTATTTTCAATCCTTACCGTCATCTATGTATAGAGCGTAGTATATTTATTCTTGATCCTAAGTCCTAACCAGAGGCGGACCCACATAGTATTGTGTATATAGGTATATTTTTTCTGTCTTCAAAAAATTAATGGTATAAAGATTATTTTAAACCTACTTCAAACAAGTAAATTGCCTAGTTTATTGGTAAAGATGGTTCAAAATTTTCACATGGTCTTGAGTTCAAAACCAGTTAGTCACATATGCCCTCTATTTTTAGTTTTTTTTTTTAATATAGGTCTTTTTTCCCATAAAAACGACATCGTTTATGTTTTTTAAAAATATCCCCCAATTCCCCCAATCAAAAAACAATCAGAATCTCTAATCCCAAGCCCTTCGATGCCCCCCCCCCCC